CTTTATATATATAGAATTTTCAATATCAGAAATTTCAATAACGAATAAATGCTTCTCTTAGAAGCATTTATTCGTTATTGCATTCGTTAAGAGCAAATAAATGCAAATTTAAATATTTATAGTTTGAAAGGTAGCCGTGTTTGGAAGATTTTACCTTTAACGCGGAAGAAAAAAATACAACGGTTATCTCACAATCTTAAATAAATAAATGCTAAATATAATATTTTTTCACTTATTTTGACCTGAATTAATACAAAATACTGAAAATAGTATAAAAATATGTCTCATAAAAATTCCATGTCAAAGTGTTAACAGCATCAAAAACCAGAACTGTTTCTTGACTTTGCAGAACCCCTCGCAAAAGGTTTTGTAGAACCCTTTTAATGTTCGCTTTCTATATTTAGCCTAACATACATTTTCATAAAATATAATATATTTTATGAGAACTGAATACAATTAATTTTAAGCAACAGGAAATTTAATTTCTTTTATTAATTTATTAAAACCATGAATTTGAAGAGTGATTTTGCATAAAACTGAATGTTAAATTTACTTTCCTACTTTTAATATTCATCACATTATAAATTAAACTTTCATACAATTGATACTAACCAGGGGCCCCGATCAGGGGGGAAGGTGGGCGCACGATGCGCCCACTTAAAGCTTGGGGGGGATTTTTACACTAAATAAAACGAATAGTTTGGGGGGGAATTTAGACGAGATAATTTTTTTTTGAAGTACATAAATAAAAGAAGCAACGCAGCACTATTTCGAACAAGCTAACATGGAGGGGGGAAGTTAGCAAATTTTTTTTTTTGGGGGGGGGGATGAATGCACCCAGGAGCTTGGGGGGGATGGGGGCCACTGATACTAGTAGCATTAAATTAGATAATTAAATTAATTTATTCATGACAATATGTTCCAGGTACGATATCAAATTAATAGGTGACACGAATAAAAAGTTATGCCCAGCAAATATTTTCAATATTTTTTTTTTAGTTCTATACTTATCAATACACATTACGACTAATTTAAGCAAAAAAGATTATTATATTTCATTGTTACTTTCATATAAATTAACTATTTAGAAGCAAAGGGCACGATACTAGCCGAAAAGCAGGATATCTTTTGATTGCAACTTGCAATTAAATTTACATTTCAAAAGCAAGATGTATGGTACCAAATTAAAAAGTGACAGAATAGAAACATTTATCTAAAAGAAAATAAATGTTCTTCAATGCAAATTTTTTTATTAGTTCAATGTATCAACATACGTTAGGATGAATTTTCTCCGAAAAACATGATTATATTGACTTTCATATGAATTTATGTTATGGCAAACAAAATGTGCCCTACCAGCTTTAGGGGTAAAGAAAAAATTATCTATCTCGAAAAAAAAAAAANATCTCAAAAAAAAAAAAAAAAAGGAGTGGGGAAAATGGAGTGTTGTGTGAATATTTTTCAAAAACTTTTTTAAATGCTCAAAATATTGTTAAATATTAGTAGACACAAATCAAAATTATTTATCTCGAAAAAAAGAGTATGAAACAATAACGTGTTGTTATGTGAATATTTTCAATAACTTTTTTAAATGCCCAAAATATTGCTAAATATTAGTAAACATTGGAAAAAAAGTAAAAAATAAATTACAAAAATTTATATTTTAGAAACAAATTGTATGATGCTAATTCAAAGATTGACACTGACAGAAACTATTTATCTTAAAAAATTAGAAAATATGCCGTGAAAATATTTGTAACATTTTCTTTTAAGTTTGCCATTGTATCAATGCATATAAATCGAAATAAATAAATAAATAAACAAATAAAATGCTTATTTCTGATTTTGATGTTCATTTGAAAAGCAAGGGGTGCCGAATTAAAAAGTAACGTGAATAAAAATTATCGATCAGAAATATTTAATATTTCTGTGTACACATATTTTTAATATTTTTTAAAGTTCCATTATATCAATAAATAATAGGACATGTTTCAGCCAAAAAAAATTTTTTGATTGATACCTGACCCTGTTTTTGATTGATACTTACATTTCAAAAGCGAAATGTTCTGTACCAAGCAAAGTTAGCAGAAAAATTAAGAGTTTCGTGGTAAAAACGACTCTTTTAAATTATTTTTTTTAAAAATTATTTTAATGAAAAATTTAAAATTTTTTTAGTGAAATGTTTTAAAAGTAATGTTTTTATCAGCAAAGTAAAATATAATGTAAATTTAACATTCAATAGGACTGCTTCAGTGCACTTGATTTTTTTTTTTAACATAGAAGGAATAAAAGTTGTTGAAGGTTTTTTTGTTCACTTAAAATCGAAAAGAATATGTACACGAGGTGAGACAGTATGGTAGGTCTCATTGTGATGTGTAATGCCTCAGGTGTCAGGTTTGTATTTGGAATTTCTCAATGTATTTTTTTTTTAAATATTTTTGTTTTCTCGTGGAAAAATAGTTTCGGACCATCCCGTTAGATAGAGTTTGGTAATTCAGTGAGCAAATATATTGTTATGTAATAAATTTATATTACAAACAGTGGATTATTCCTCCTTTTTTTTGCAATTTTGTAATTTATTTTCTAGACTCTGTGAAAAATAGATATAAATTTTTTAAAATTTTACTTATTTATGAATATTAGGTTGACCCATTAAAAAAATTAAGCAAATTTAATTTTTTGAATTTTAGATGGGTAAGAAGTGGGATTATCCTTTAATTTTACTGAAGGAGAAAAAAAAAAGGTTCGCGTGAGCATAAAAGTTTTAAGCATAGAGATGTCTAAGCTGACTTCACTTCACTTACTTGTCCTCTGGAAATCCATCAATGATCAATCAGTTACAGACACAACCAGTAGGAATACTTTTCTATAAGGATAGGAATACGAATCCTCCAATAGGAATAGTGTAAATGGAAATTGATAGAATGATAGTGAAACACTGATCTAGTTCAGCCTCTGACTTGGACATCTCTAAACTGATAGAATTTTGGCGAATTTTCGAATAGCAACTAGAAACTAACAGGCATGCATAAGTTTTATAAGTAAAACAAGGGAAGTTTGGTTTTGTAATTTGTTTGGATGGCAGCATATGTTTTTTTTTTATAATTTTTAAAATTTTAAAATTTCCATGATTTCAATCTCTTTTTCCGATTTTTAATCATTTTTTCGAAAAAAAACCCCCACTAATCAGTTTAGTATGGCTAATAATCCTAAAGACTTAATGGACTCTATTAAAGATCTTCTAGACAGTGGAGAATTTTTTAATCTGACCATATTAACGGAAGATGGCGGGTCTTTTAAGGCTTGCCTGGAAATCATTGTCCTTTACAGCTCTTACTTCATGCAAATTCCTGAACTGAATGATAATCCACCACCATGGGAAATACTCGTACCTGGAGTATCGAAAGAAATTATGGCGACCATTATTGATTTTGTGAACACCAATGAACTGAAGTTGCGCCACAATAAAATAAAAGAAGTAATGATGGCTGCCGAACTATTGAATATACCATATATAACCAAGTTATGTAAGAATTTTTTGGTGACTAAAATATCAACAGAGAACTGCATCAGCGTATATAAATTTGCTAATCTTTACAGCTACGATGATCTTGAAGAAATTGCCAAGCAGTTTATTTTTAAAAATTTTGAAAAGGTACGTTAATATTTACTTTTCTACAAACGATTTAATCAAATTAATGTATTTCGAATTTTTATTTTCTTGGTGAAATGTATAAATAGTTCAAGGGTGCTTTGTGGCAATCTACCAAACCTCCATGCAAAACAAAGTATTTACAGCTCTTACACGAAACACTTCGTTTATTAAACTGAAATTTAGATGATGTTAGGTGTTAGGTTTACTTTTAGTCTACCGTCTGTCTTTTCATGCAATTCACATACCTTAAGTTTTGCATAAAAGCGATTTTAGATGGATTTTTATATCAATGTTCTTCGATTTTCAGTTACGTTTAAAATGATGCAGAAAACAAAGTAAAAAATTATATTTCGAAATTCCTCCAGTTCGTCACCAGTGATAAAACAAAAAAGTGCAAAGTAGAATTCTCGACCTTTATGAGCTACGTTTCGTTTTACAAATGAAGGACTCGAGACAATATAGTGATGAGCCAAAATTTTCCCAAAGGCAACATTTTTAGACCTAGCTCTTCTTAGGTATTGTTTCCATATAGGTACATTTCACGTTTCTAAAATTTTCTCTTTACAGCTCAATACATCTAAACATTAAAAATAGTTAAAATGACTATCCTTTTTTTCTTCGGAAACATGTAGCTTATGAATGCATATATACTTCAGTCTCTTCTACTTTACGAGTTTTCCACTCCATGGAACGAGGTTTCCTTAAATGGAAATAAAATAAAAACCTCCTTGCTATGAGCTATCTAATTTTACTTAATTGAATTTCTCCTCTTCTGCTACTCTAGTTTTCTCATTTGAGAAAAATTGTTTATAGAATGAGAGTTCTGCCGTGTAAGAAAAACATGGAACATGCATCTAACTATGTAAAATTGATGATGATGATTGTATCACAGGATCCAATGAAATGATTGACATTATCAAAGTCTTATCCTTCAACCAGCAAATCAGAAATTTACTGATTGAAACATGTATCTTATGAATAAGTACATACTTCAGTCTCTTCTAATTTACGAGTTCTCCACTCCATAGAACGAGGTTTCCTTAATGGAAATTAAAATAAAAACTTTCTGGCTATGAGCTATCTAATCTTATCAAATTTAATTTCTCCTCTTCTGCAAAACTCTGCTTTTCTTATTTGAGAAAAATGGTTTATACAATGAGAGGTCTTATAAGAAAAATTCGGTACATACAGGGTTATTCATAATTCCCTCTGTTAACTACAACCTTATGTTTACTACAACCTTATGTTTATTACAACGGGCTTCAGTGGTACATGTTACTGTCATCTACTGGCAACTGCTTAAATTAAAACTTGAATACTTTCGGAATAATTTCATATGTTCCTTTTTGCCATATTCGTCTTCGTTTTTTTACTATAACGCTTCGAATACAACCTTTTAATTGTATCACAGGATCCAATTAAAAGGTTGACATTATCGAAATCTTATGCTTCAACCAACTAATCAGAAATAAGAACGTTATTAAATCAAAAATCATTCTTACTTCAATGAACCTTTTCAAATACGAGCTATAAATCTCTAGGAACATAAAATCAGAATCGTCTGAGACTGTTTTCTATTGTTGTCGGTGCATTTTTATAAGCTAAAAAATTGTAAAATACAGCTTTCCCACATTTATTTCCATATACTTTTGCTTGTCATCGGGATAATCGTTTTCCTATAAAATATTTTTGTATATTTAATTTATGGGTATTTACCTGTAATATTTATTTTTCTTATTCTTCTCTGCTGTTTTTGATTTTGAGTGTTTCCCTAATTAGAACTTAAACTAAAAGAGTTGTTTCTTTATTGTAATGTAATCCTATAATATTACTTGGATGCGCTACATTACAAGATATGCTTACTACAATCAGTGTCTAAATTTATTAACCATTTTAGAACTATTATTTTTGGGGGCACATTTAATTAATATAATATTATAAATTACAGTCAGTTAAAGACATTAGTTAAATGATTAAGAGATTTGATCCGCGTTCATGCACAATGTGATGATGCATGATCAATTGTACTTTATGTATCAACCTGTTTGGTAAGCAAAAATATTAAATTACTTTTGCGGGCACGTTAAATTTGTAATAACAATATTCCTTTGAATTTAAATGTTATTTTAAAATATTATCGCTAAGCAAAATTATTCATATTCACCAATAGATCTTAGAATCATGAGAGACGTGGGAAACAAAGGCACAAACGTAAGCAAACAGAATTCTTTTTAGTACATATATTTAAAATTCATAATTTCAACTTACGATTCGGTCTTTCATAGAAAGAACTTTTTATACCAAGAAATAACAATTGCGAAACTATCATTGGGGTTGGCAGCGAACAAAAGGCATAGACCCTTAATCATTTGCAATGATACCGTCTTACAATAAGTAGTACAAAAATGAAATAATATTGAAAATTTAAAATCATGCTGCCACCGATTAACTACAGTAACTGCAATAACTATAATTAATTGACCTCGCAAGAATAGGAATTGTTTCTAAATAATTTTTTAATAATTGTTGTGAAGATTTATTTACTGCAAAAATGAATAAATTCAACATCAGTTAATAGAACTAATTCTCCAGAATTTTCAAGGGGTTTTATGTTTTATATTGCTGCTTTTGACTTGTAGTTATTTACAATTTTGACTCTGCTGTCTAATTGTTATCTAGACATGTTAAGGCCTGGTTTCTTAGGACAGGATGCCGTCAGCTGGAAATCAGCGCTAACCTCTGATTGGTCCATTTGTGAGTTTGATAGTATACGTCATAGAACGCTAATCTTGAACTACAATTGCCGTCCAACTCAACTGCAGTTGGATTACAACGTGACGTTAACCACAGAAGCAATGGCGGACAACATCCAACAGCACATTGCAATCAGCCACGATTTTGATTTTGACATTAAACATAGCTTCTTCATTAAACATAGCACTCTTCATTTAGCTCAGCTATAATGTGTTTTTTCTTGGACAAGGTCATTATTTGTTCTCTAAAACACTGGTCGACAATAACAAAATCAATACAAATTCAAAATAAATATTTGTTTACGTTATTAACGCATGCGCAATGAGAGATAAAGTCTGTGTTGGACCGACTGCTCACGCTGAGCTAACAGAAAAGTATTTTTTTGGCGTCAGTTCTACGTCAACTTTCCGCTGACACATAGATAAGGCGCTTGTCCTAAGAAACCAGACCTTTAGGTATAGTTTCCTGTGTATTTAATTTACAATAAAAGAGAGCAAATTCAATTTTATAAAATTATTAGCTTAAAAGTTATAATGGTTTTATATTTAAAATGTATGTACATCATCTATCTACCTACCTATCTATCTATCTATCTATCTATCTATCTATCTATCTATCTATCTATCTATACTGTACTGTCTGTACTTAGTATCTATTTTCAGAGTCATAAAAATACCCTGCATGTGACTTGTGAGTCTTGTGACTTTTTACTAATTACGAGGTTGTGTACCTTTTTTTATGCCACTGGATAGAATTGTTTGAATCATATTTTTACTCGATGTGCATTTTTTGCAAGCTTATATTATCGAATCATAACAAAAAGTGATTTATTACCAAATAAATATAAAAAGTTATACGATCTTTTAAATCTAGATTAAGTTGGATCTTTACTTTTAAAATTATACAAATTAATGCACAATGTTAAAAAATTATCTTAGAATAATTATCTCCAATTTACTTTAGATCTATACAACAAATCCTCAGTTTCTGATTTTGCCAGTGAATGATTTAATTCTTTTCCTTTCCTCCGATGCTCTGAATGTTAAAAAGGAAGAGACTGTGTTTGGGGCAATTTTAAAATGGATAGAGGTTGACGTACAGAAAAGGCTACTGGATCTTCCCAGTTTGCTACGTTTTGGCCTGCGTGTTGGTTTATGCGATCGTCAGTAAGTTTTATAATTCGCAAAAAATACGTATTCCTGAATTTCTTTCCTTACAAAACTACTAAAAATTATACATTTAACCCTTTGTGATGCAGAAATACCTGAGCGAAATTTGCAGGTGGAGAAAACCATAAAATTTGCAATCATGGTTTACATATCCAGAACGAAGTAATCTGAATTAAATTAGTATTTTTCAAAATTTAAAGTGATTGATTGAAAATTGCGTAGTTCAAATGTTTAAAACTATAACAATTTTAGTATTTCTAATTGTTGTAAAAAATATAAGGAGAAATTTTTATTCTATCGCCCTTGAAGGTTTTTATTTTTTTTTTCACTTTTATTATTTATTTATTTATTCTTCAAATTCATTGTTTTTTGACGATTAATTTAGAATATAAAGTGAAATTCGAAAAAAGTAAAGGAGGGAAATGAATACTTTGAGCGGAAGTTATGTGCTATTTTTAAAAACTTAAAGTTGTTTATTATTAACCGCGTATTTCAAGTATTTAAAATTATGGCAGTTTTAGTAGTTTCAATTGTAATTGTAGTGTATATATATATATATATATATACACACACACCACTACACTACAAAAATACAATTCCAATTCCCTAGTATATAAGAGATGTTAACTCCCTTCTAAGTTGGGGTACCTTTTGATAGATAAAGGTTGACATTGTCTATAACAACTCTCCCCACAGTAATAATACAATAATAAAAGTAATAAAAAGTAAAAATAAAATACAATAAAATTTTTATACATTAACTGGACAGTCCTTCAAGTAAAAAAATCCTAGGATTAAAAATCTTATTTCGTATCTGTATTAAATTAAATGAATAAAAGGGAGATGGAAATTGAGAGGTGATAAAGCTTTGTGGATGTTAACTGCTTGCAACATTAAAATATATAATAAGTAAATGATCCCCAAGTCAAGTTCAAAGAATATGGTATTGACCTATAAATTAAACAGCGTAAAAAAACCATTGACTTGCCAGTAAGACAACGGCGATTCACCCGCAATGAAATAAAGGAAAGAAATAAAATTTTTCTTTTGCTATTAGGGAAAATTTTTTTGAAATGTTTAGTTGGACCCCATGATCAGAAAAAATTTCAGAAGACTGAAAATAAAACCTGAAATTGAGAATCTTTTGCAAAATGAAAGAGAGTTGCAAATAAGAGGGCAAAAATCTTTCTCACCGAATCCAGCTCAGTATATGCACATGCAGAATCCAAGGTTGGTAAGTTTCTTCAGAGGTGGCAAGAACCACCGGTAGAAACCGGTTAAAACTGGCATGGCAGAAGCCCTTTTCTGCCACACTTGTGGCAGAAATTCAGAAAATGACATAAAAGTAAGTACTGAGAGTGACATACAATGGGTAATTTATAGGAAAAACAATTAAATGTTAAACAAAGGACAATTTATTTNAGAAATGTGGTTTTTCTGTGTTTGTTTTTTAGATTGTAGTGTAAGATTAAGTTTCTGGGGTCTCTGTCAGAAAATCTTGACACATTCACAGGTGTTCGAATAGGAGATTCTCCCTCCTGTCTACTTTTTAATATTGCACTTGAGAGAGTTATTCGTGATTCAGGCATCAATACCAGTGGTCACATTTTTACTAGATCAGTACAACTACTTGCATATGCTGATGATGTTGATATAATTGTTCGTTCCCTGCCTGCCCTGAAAGAGGCATTTCTTGCCATTATCCCCTGCAAGGCAAATGGGCATGGTCATAAATGTAGAGAAAACAAAATATATGTTATTCTCAAGAAACAGAGTCCCAGACCCCTATCTTGAAATAAATTCTTATAGATTTGAAACAGTGAGGAGTTTTACTTACTTAGGATCAATTACTATCATTGACAACGAAATTACTCCTGAAATAAAAAAAAACCGACACTATTTGGCGAATAGGGCTGTCTATCGGCTGAGAAGATTTATTAAATCTAGGTTTCTTTCTAGAAAAACAAAATTCTTAATCTACAAAACTCTTGTCCGGCCAGTCTTGACATACGCCTCTGAAGCTTGGACAATGACGAAGCTGGAGGAAAATTGAATCGCAATATTTGAGAGAAAGATTTTGCGCGGTATACTTGGTGGCGTAAATGAAAACAATAACTGGAGAAGGAGATTTAACTTTGAACTGTACAGGATTTATAAACAACCTGATATTATTAAGTACATAAAAATAAATAGAATGAATTGGATCGCCCACGTTATTCGAATGAGTGACGACAACACAATAAAAAAGATACTGCTTTTTAGACCCACTGGAAAATGAAAGCGGAGAAGGCCGCGGTTGAGATGGGCCGACTCAGTGGAGTCTGATCCTCTCGCAATTAATGAAAAAATTTGGAGATCAAAGATAAATCGGAAGTCACCGTGGAGAAATCTAAGAGGAAGGCATTGACTCACATTGGGCTGTCTAGCCAACTATGATGATAATGACTACCTTCTTCTAAATTTTTTCCATTGATTTTTAAAATCATACGCCATTTTAGGGACGCTTGGTTCAGCAATCAGGCTAAATATAAAACTTTGTTAAACTTTTTAAGAGATGAACGTATGCTTTTTCACCTTAAGTTTTTGTTATTTCATTGCAATATTTTCAGCAGATTTTTTAATGAACAAATCATGTCGAATAATTTGATGTTAGACAATGAAGACTCTCAGCATTTTATTTTCCAAGTATCTCAAATGTTTGAAGAACTCCAGGGAGAAAATGGAGATGGTATCAGATTGGATAGATTCAATATTCATCACCCGTTCCTCAGACCACGAGTACCCAATGAGCTGATATTTGTTATGGGAGGCTGGAGCGCTGGTTCAGCCACCACAATAATGGAAACTTTTGATGTCAGGACAGAACGCTGGTTTCTTTCAATGCACTCGGATAGCGTACCCAGGTATTTTAATTTAATACGTTAAGTGGATCCAGGACACATTTTTAAAAATGCATAGGTACCTGTAAATTTTTTGTGCTGTTTTTAAAAAATGGGTAGAAAAATATGCGGGATGTTTATAATTAAACTTTACATTTGCAAGCAGCCTGTTTGGTGTTTGAAATGGGCTATGGATAACGTATGGCAGAACTCTTTANCTCTCAGCATTTCATTTTCCAAGTATCTCAAATGTTTGAAGAACTCCAGGGAGAAAATGGAGATGGCATCAGATTGGATAGATTCAATATTCATCACCCGTTTCTCAGACCAAGAGTGCCCAATGAGCTGATATTTGTTATGGGAGGCTGGAGCGCTGGTTCAGCCACCACAATTATGGAAACTTTTGATGTCAGGACAGAACGCTGGTTTCTTTCAATGCACTCGGATAGCGTACCCAGGTATTTTAATTTCATACGTTATTAAGTGGGTCCAGGACACATTTTTAAAATGCATAGGTACCTGTAAATTTTTTGTGCTGTTTTTAAAAATTGGGTAGAAAAATATGCGGGATGTCTATAATTAAACTTGACATTTGCAAGCAGCCTGTTTGGTGCTCGAAATGGGCTATAGATATCGTATGGCGGAACTCTTTACCTACGGCAAACTTTCGTGTAGCTATTGGTTGCCAATACAGTTGAACGACATCCAGACCAGTCAGGACCGAAACCCATCAGGATACTTGGAAAACTTTATAAAATGACCTTGGCAGTATTTTTTTCGTTTACATCTATCATGACTTTTACAGACATGATTGCTAATTGTGGTAGTGTTCTCGTTCATAGACGATAACGTTTTCCTTTGCAAAGAACGTCTATTAAGCATACTTTCATGAACTTCGGTTGCCAATACAGTTGAACGACATCCAGACCAGTCAGGACCGAAACCCATCAGAATACTTGAAAAACTTTATAAAATGACCTCGGCAGTATTTTTTTTCGTTAACATCTATCATGACTTTTACAGACATGACTGCTAATTGTGGTAGTGCTCTCGTTCATAGACGATTACGCTTTCCTTTGCAAAGAACGTCTATTAAGCATACTTTCATCAACATGATAGATAAGCTTCTCGACACAATTTTCCGATTCGATAGAATTTTTAAATTCCAAAATAAAAATCTCTGATTTTTTCTCGATGGGGAATAATTTTTTTTCGTTTTTCGTTTCATGAGATTTTTTTAAAAACAGATCTTGGATATTTTCGTATCGCTGAATTCAAATCTGCAATCGATTTCACTCTCTTGTCCAAATATTCAAATTTAAAAAAGTTATATGCAATAGGGGGTCACATATAAATTCTGCGACAAACATCTGGAGGAGCTTATGCATATCATCAGGATTAAAATTGTATAGTAACTCATGTCCGGAAATGTTACTGTGATAGGGGCGCTTTCTTATTATGACTCGTTCTTCGTGTGCTTCTGAACAATTTCATAATCGGGAAGCGACTACGTACGACGACAATTCCAAACATAAGATTCAAAGCAATTTTAATCCTAATGATGTGCCCTAACTCCTCTAAAAGTTAGACGCAACATTTACGCAATCCTTTGTTATATATAACATTTTTAAACTTGCACATTTCGGCAAAAAATAGACTAAAAGACTAAAAATGTTATTAAAAAATCTGTAGCTTTAGAAGCGAAACTAATTTTAGATTTGAAATGCCCGCACCAGAAGTAGGCAAAATCTAGTATTGGTATATATGCAACAGAAAGTTTGTACCCAAATGAAATTTTTCTTCTTAGATTTTTTTTCTAATAAAGCCAAGAGAGAAAAAAATAGGCGAATTTTGGACCCTCAACAGAAAATATGAAGATGAAGGAAGATTTTCAAGAAAAAAAAATTTTTTTTTTTGGAGAAGAGTAGAAAAACAACAACAACAACAAAAAACACACCATCATTTTTCAGTTCGGTTAATTGAAAAATTTGGTTAATCAGATTTCGGATAAGCAGCGCTTTAGGGTACAGCACATTAATATGGTTGTAATTAATTTTAACGATATTGTCTGAGAGAATTTCTTAAAACACTAATTTGTTTAAGAGTAACGTGTACTTTAAATTTATTTTTAGAGCCTACCATGGAATGCTTTGGCACCAGAAGCGCATCTATGTTATTGGAGGTTTTGATGGCAATCAATGTTTCAACAGTGTTCGTCGCTTCGACCCGGTTTTACACGTGTGGGAAGAGTGTGGAAACATGCATGTTCAGAGATGTTATGTGAGCGTGGCTGCCATTGGGGACTATATTTATGCCATGGGTGGATATGACGGTCACCGACGAAGTAAAACATGTGAAAGATTCTATCCAGACACAAATCAATGGTCAATGATAGCTCAAATGCACAATATTAGGAGTGATGCAAGTGCTGATTCTCTTGATGGTAAATATGTACTTAAGTAATTGAATCCTTAGCACCATTTTTTAAATAACATTTAAAATTTTGACGCACTTACTGTACATTACTGTTTATTAGTCGATAATTTTGTGGAATATTTTTGAGTAAAAATCCCTTTTCTAACTGTTCCTAATTTTTCGCAATTGTTGCCGGAAAAGTTTCTGACACGAAATTCTGGAAGTAAAGATAAAAAGCTACAAATCAAATCAAATTTAGCATTCCGTTCTAGAAGGAAGGTTCTTGAAGAAATGATCAGAACTTTAAGAAATTGACCTTAAACTAAAATAAAAATTTAAAAAAAGGAAAAAGACAGAAAATAATTTATTTGGAATTTTTATGTCCAATTATAAAGAATCAATATTGGAAAATTTCTGTAAAATTACCGGAAAATATTTCCGTCAGACTAAGTTTATAAAAATAAACTAAGTAAAACTTGCTTAGACGCTAGCTTTTAGACTAAAGCCATTTTCTACTCTGAAATCGTAGGGTGACAATCGAAACAATCGAAGTATTGAAAACAATCTAACTATTGTTAAGAATAATCATATTTATTATTATTCGTTTTGTACACTACTGGTCATTAAAATTGCTACACCAGGAAGGAATGCAAATAACAGAATGATATTTATTGGGCACATACATTATAGTTGGAAGAACAAGTGATTAAATTTTCAGGATATTAGGATGTATAGATCCTGAGGAATCAGCACTCAGAGCAGCCTCTCCTGGCAGCAATAACAGCAGTTATTCTACTGGGCATCGAGTTGAACAGAGATTGGATAGCATGGACGGGTACATCATTTCATGCAGCTTCATTATGCCACAATTCATCGACCGTAGTGACGGACGAGTGGTGGCGTGCCAGTCATTCGGCAACCATTGACTAGACGTTTTAAATTGGTGAAAGATCAGGAAAACGTGCTGGCCAGGGCAACAGGCGAACATGCTCTGTGTCAAGGAAGGTCAGGACAATGCGGGCAACATGCGGTCGGGATATTATCCTGCTGAAACGTTGCATTATGGAGGCCTCGAAGATAAGGCAGAGCAACTGGTCCTAACACATCAGAAATGCAACGGCTGCTGTTCAAAGCGCCGACAATGCGAACAAGAGGTGATCGAGACTTGTATCCAATGGCTCCTTGCCATTACACCAGATAATGGACCAGTATGACGATGTCGAATGCAAGCTGCCAATGGACGCTCTCCACGATGTCACCAAACACGGATGCGGCCATCGTTATGCTGTATACAAAACCTGAATTCGTCTGAACGACGTCATGCGTCCACTTCATACCGCAACCCCGGTAGGCCATAATTCGACCTCGATCAAACTCAGACACGTGCTGGTAGGCATTTTTCCTTCTTACACGAGGTATAACAAAAACTTTTTTTCCCAAGGACGATGCTCAAATTCAATTTCTGTATGAGAAACTTACTGCCAAATCTCTTCTTTTATACACATTGTAGGTGTAGCTACCACCGCTTGCTTTGCATGAATGCGCTGATAAGCTAATCATTCGCATACAACAACATGCTTTATCCGTCCTGCAAATTTCACGTTCGTGGTGATTCGCCTTCCTGGTGTAGCAATTTTAATAAACAGTAGTGTATATTTCTTTACTCAAAATAATATTTTAATGTCCAAAATTCGGAAAAACAAATATTTAGTTTCAACTCATTTCTTTTGTCTCTTTTTCTAATTGTCTTTTCTTATTTTTAGGTAAAATTTATATTGTTGGTGGTTTTAATGGAATACAGGTTTTGCAGAGCGCAGAGTGCTATGATTCAGAAACAAATGAGTGGACTGAAATTAGGAATCTGAATTCTCCTCGAAGTGGAGTCAAAATAACTGTTTTTCAAAGGTACTTGTACGCTATGGGTGGATTCAATGGTAACCAAAGATTAGATACAGGTGTGTGGAGTATAGATAATCTCAACAAGCGTAGTTTTTTTTTATTCAATTAAAAAATAGACTTGTTGCAATTATCATCTAATCTAGAAAGTAAGTTTCGTTTAGTAACACAAAGAAAGGATGCAATTATTCGGAAATAATCTTTATTAAGCAATGAGCTAAACTAGCTAGACTATTTTTCGACATAAGTATCACTATTATTTAGGCATTAATCACAGACTTAATTCCCACACATTTATAGTTTCTTTCATTTCTTTCAGTTGAAAGATATGATAAGGTGTCAAATACTTGGACTTATGTGGCTCCAATGCTTGGTCCCAGAAGCAATTTTGCTGTTACAGTTCTAGAAGGTTTGATATATGTAATTGGAGGATTCAATGGTATAAAGCATTTACTAATTATAATAAAAAGTTGTTTTCTGTTGCTAAAATGTTTTAAAGTAATTCGCCGTAGTTTTCTTTTAATTTAGATTTTTAGTATTCTTATTGATATCAAAACTGTGGGCTTAAGGATTTTTTTGAATCTAAATCCTTTCTTAGCCACCGTGTTTTTTTTTTTAAATTTCCTTTATGTTGTTAGCCCATTGTGCAGCTCTAGTGCGACGCAAAAAAAGTACCGTACCTTTATTTTGCTCACTTCTATTAATTCGAGACAATTTAGTTTCTTTTTTTTTGTGGGGCTATTTTACCTCGATTCGAACTTAAGTGATAGACTGGATATTTTGAGAAAATATGTCTAACCATTATTTAAGTTTCCATTACACATTTACCCTTTATGTTCTCTCGTTCCTGGGACATTTCTCGGTTTCACTTATGCTTTTTCGTCCTATTTAGTTTTTAATATCCTTTTATTTTTTATATTGAGTTCATAATGTTGTTCGGTTTTGGTACAATTTTAATCGTCTTTATAATAAACATACCTTAAATTTAACTACTAATAACATTTTTGGTATTTTAAAAATATGTTTGAGAGATAACTGAAAATGACAAGACTCACGACAAATTTTTTTTTGGCATTTAACAAGTTCAACTACTTATTCAGTTATTGATAGTTATTTATCTCCGTAGGATTGGCAACAATAACGACAGTAGAAACATATGATCCCCGTACAAACAGTTGGAAACATACAACAGATCTGAACCTCAACAGGAGTGCTTTATCTGCTTGCAAGGTATCTGACATATCGACAGCTAGCGAATACTGTTATGTCGGAGCTCATTCCTTAAGGACATAGAGTATCAACTTAACTACAGATATCACAAGCTCACAGCAATCTCACTTTCTTTTATCAATTGCAGTACAGATATTACAAGCTCATTTAAATTTTTAGTATTATTCAGCCATCTACCCCAAACTGTTCAGTGAAGATTTGAAAGAAAGAATAATAATAAATGCGTTAAATAGATATTGAGGTTGTGTTTGCTTCAAATCCATTTCAGAGGGGGTCGGGATAGCCTGGTTGGTAGGGCACATGGCTCATGTCCAAGAGTTCGTGGGTTCGATCCTCGCCGGTCAAAGACTCCCCATGTGGTAAATGGTGACTGATGCACGTTAAATCTGTCGAGTCGCAAAGTCCTCCATGTTCCCATAACAAATCAATACCTCTGGGGGAACTTATTCAGGAGTTTCCTTGTCTTCTAGATTGGTTCAAAATTACAAGGAGTGGAACATTAGTAGTCGTAAACCCAAAATTGGGTCAGCTGTTCAACGACGGATATAAAATAGGATATAAAATCCATTCCAGAGGTTTAAGAGTTTCCTTGGAAGCTAATTAAAATAAAATACGCGCATACAATTTAAGTGTTTCAAGCCAGAAACAAAGCTTTAATTTTAAACTACATATGCTATTTTGCTAATAAAAATTGTTTAGACTTTAAAACTTGAATGATAAATCAATAACCTTTTTTTTTAAATCGCAACCCGAGAAGAAGTGAAGTGATTAATCATGTGATTTAAATCAGATTTGATTGGATACTTGTAAGCGACGTCATGAACCTGATCAATTTCTGAATCGACAAATGACATGATTCAACTACGACGATAGATATTCAATTTTACTGGATTTTTCCATATAGATTTAAATTATTATTAAGATGAAATATTTCAGTGTTGTAGAGAAACTTTTCTAATTTTAAAAAAAATAACGAGGGCTATTTCCTCATAACAAAACGGTAGCTTTTATTCCTTTTGATATTTAGCACCATTTAAGTGGAAAAAATTTTGGTTCTACAGGAACAATTATAAAAACAGCATATTATATTATTCATAAAAAGAACACATTTTATGTAACGGCAGAGTGTTCAAAGAGCAGTTTTAATTATTTGTTCCCCGAAAATGGCAACGTGTTGCTTTCTATGAATGTTGTACGAAATAGTGAAAATTATGATTTTATCTTTATATTTTTTTCTTCTTCTCATTTTTATAGTCCTAAGAGGTGTCAGGATATATTTATCAAAGTATTTTGACAATGTTAGTCTTGCTTTGAAATTTTTGTGTTGTTTTATTCTAAAATAAATACGCAAAATAGTTTTCCAAGTCTTCAATAAAATATTCTAAAATTATTTTTGTTTAAAATTTTTGTAGCAATTAACAGTATTATGCTTCAATTTAGCAACTTATTATTAGCAAAATTATATTCGAGCCGTGCAAAGTCTTTAATAATTTTTTTATTTAGTTCATGCGATTTTTCCTAAATAGCAATAAGATTTAAAGCTTTCAGATGTTAGGGAGACCGACAGTAATTTACGAAAGAAAACAAGTATTTTTGAACACCCTATGTCGGAAAATCAAGCAATAAGCTTGTAACTTGTATAAATTACTTTAGTTGTTAATTAAAGTAACTGCATAAAATTTCGTGAACCTAGAGTAAATGGAGTTATTTCCATTTTGATAAAAAAAAAACTTAACTAACCTTACGTTTTTTTTTAATAACTTTATAAATATTCCATGGAATCAAATAGTATTTTTGGAACAGTTTAATATTAATTACAAAATTATTCATTTAGAATTTAAAATAAATTCTTTAAAAATTGAGCAAGATATAAGTATATAAGTTAGATCTTTTATACTGTTTGATTTGAATATCTTATAAATTTAAAAAGTTTCAAGTAATTTTCGAAGAAGTTTTTGTATTTTTTTAAAAAAAGCCCATAACGCTCAGGGATTTTCCACAATTTTTATTTTATTTGGTAAAAAAGAATTTAATAACAAATCATACCTTACAATAATCGTCCGAAAACCACAATGTGATGGTATGAAGAAAGAAAATATGTGAAAGAAAACATACTTTTATGGGGGATAATCCCCCAAAATGATTACAATTTCAATAATTAATTAAATAAATAATTTATTTATTAATAATAATAAATTATTAATAACTAATTAATTAAATTATTAAAGCTACTTTTTCTTATCTTCGATTCTTATTTTTAAAAATATTTGCATGAAGTTTTTTTTTGCTCCTAGTTTTTTTTAAAAACATTTTATCTTAAGCCGACAAATATGGTTCAACGTATAGAAAGGAATTTATTAATTTTAGAAATATGTTCAATCATAAATTTGATCATGATGTCTTTCGAAATGAAAGTATTGCCACTGGCCAGATTTTAACGGATGGACAGGGTTTCTATAATTTGCTATCAGATAAGCAAAAATATTTTTCTATAAGTGACAGAAAAAAAAATTACCTTTTGTATGGCTATTATGGCGACAACTTCTTGTATATATTTTGTAATAGGACAAATAAAAAAAACTAAATTAAAAAAAAACAAACAAACTTAGAGACATTTTTTATTAATATATTGAAAAAATTGAAAGATAATTTAAAAATGTTTTTTATTAACATATTAGACGAACAAAAATATTTCAATGTACATGAGCGAAATCTCATAAACCTTATGAATATGTCCAATAATAATCCTTGTCGTGGTACCGGTCAGATGGAATATATTGCAATTGCCTAGGTTTGGCTGTAGCTGGATATTCGGAATTCCTATATCTTGCATACAGGTGAACATCAGAATGTTGATGATCTTGATCATTTTGATAAGCATCTGAAGTATGAGCATGAGGTACCTTGCTATGTCTATCAATATACAACGTTCTACCATTTCTGTAGACTTTCCGGTAATAATTATACCTTTCAGCATCATGATCATGAGTTTGTCTATATCTTCGTTCAGCATCATGATCATGGGTTTGTCTAGGGCGATAATAAGTTCTGTAATATCTTCTTTCATTATCATGATCATGAGTTTGTCGCGGACGATAATAAGTTCGATAGTATCGTCTTTCTGAGTCGTGATCGTGGGTCTGTCTAGGACGATAATAGTACCTAGTTTCGGAATCGTGATCGTGATTTGGCCCATAGTAGTAATGTTCATGTGGTTCCATACTATGACTATCCCTGTAGAATAATCTTCTACCATCAGAAGTAGTCACTTTGACCGGAGTGCTTACTTGTCTCTGTACTCTTTCAGATACTGTATTACTACTAGCTTCAGCAGTATTTTGAACTGTATCACTTCCAGCTGCTTTACGGATTTCCTCAGGATTGACATCTATATTGTTGATATTCAAGTTGCTGTTTTGATTATAATTCATCGGCTGATTATCAACACTTCTATAAGCTTCACTTTCAGTCTGAGGTTCATCAGGAGATTCGACCTGAAAAAATTATAATAATAAGAACGTGAATTTACAAAAAATGTAATGCGCCATTTTCGAAACTGTGGAATATTAGGTTTTGGTTCGGTTATTAATATCGCACTATAGTTACACTATAGGGCTAATTTACGACGGTCGGTCATTCCTAATGATGATCTGAAGACCATACTGGAGCATGCAGACACTACACTGCCACAATTTAGATCGGTTGACAGATAGTATTAGTAATGCTGCCCAACCGCATATCCATGAATCTTCCCGCTTCTCAAACTACCAGGGATATAACATTTGAGTTTATTCCAAACGACTAAAACACAGTGAACAAAATTCTGTCAGATCAAACACCAAGATTTAAGCTCGGGAAATCGAACTTCGGCCTATGCTATGAAAGGTAATGACTTAACCCACCATACCGAGTTTGCGGCTCAGAAGCTGGAATATTAATAAGCAGTGACGTGTTAATCTTAAGCTTTCAGGTCCTTTGAAATAGGAAAGAAATTCTACTTCGAATTAACTTAAGGAAGTCAATGTAAACGCAATTTTCTTATTTATTTAGTAACTAATTGATATTATGAAATATTTTCGTTTCATTTTATTAATCGAATTGTGTTCTATTGAGTCTAATAACTAAATTTTAGATTTATAGTTGTAAGTATTTTTAAAATTTTCAAATTTGTTATAATAGTTTTAAAATACTTACAATCTTAAAATTTGTTAACTATATTTAATCGAACACATTTCAATGAAAAAATTATTTGTCAAAAGTTCAAAATTTAATTTAATAATTTAATTAGTAAGGGAATTGCATTCACATAACTCTCTGTAGGTTTTTATGTAAGACGTTAACTTTTAACCCTTTTTTCTGATGATTTTTAAGCCTTTTTTTTGTGTTTGGGGTCTTATGAAATTATCTATTTTAATATATATATATATTTCGATTCATTTTAAAGAAAAAGTATAAAAAAAAATCTGCTCATTAATAATCTCAAATTAATATTAGTATTAATCAATTATATTTGAATTTATTCTCCTCTCTTTCAGAGCTCAATAATGATTGGTTCGAGGGTGTTTCGTAACGACGACCTTTTATCGATAATTTTGGAATATTTATATGTAATCATTAGAGGAGAATCATTATTGAGTTAAGGTTTATTATTAGTTATAATCATTATTGAGTTATAATCAGTATTAAGTTAAAGTATGGAACAATTAGTTGATTATCCATATTAGATCGTCCAAAGATTTAATTAAATGAGCATTTTGCTCTTAAAAAGAAAACATTACATTCTTGGAGGAAAACAAAACGCCACCACACTACAAAATACGTTCTGCTGTTCTATTCTAGGGTTGCATTATTTTTAATATTAGCTTATTCGCCACAAAAGAAGAGCAGAAGATGTATTCATAGTTTGTCTACGATAAGAACTCCCTCCGCCACAAAGTCTGAGGCCGTCTGCTGCTATGGAAACAAGAATAGCGGATTTCAGAGCGAGTAGCTTTTCTTCACTCTAGGGCTAACACAATTGATCGAAGAATAAGATTCCCTTTCTCTCGCCGACCAAATCCTGTCCTAAACTTAGAGGAGATATTAGGGTAGAGAGAGTCAGTCTATTGTTTGGCAGGGACTAATATAGGGGATAAGGACATTTAACTTTCCCCGGGGGGGGGTTCAGAAAAGCAACACGCTTTTGACAGACCGGTTTTACGCACAAAAAGTGGCGTTCGCGTCGTCGTAGTGATTATTTTCTGACATCTCCGCCGTACCTTTGCATTGCGCGTAATCAGTGTTGATCATTAAAAAGCAATTTAATTTAAATTCTAAAACTTTTTCATTTCCGTAAACCAGTATATTATTTTGTATATTGCTTAAAGATGTCTATTCATTACTCATAATTTATTTGTTTGTTTATTGAAGCTTTAAAAGCAGAGATCATTCAGATTACGAGCAATTATATACTATAGTTTCGGTTTTGTTTAGTTTTGGTTTTCAGAACTTAGATTAATTAAAACCGAAGGAAGGATATTTACTTATCCAACCATAGTTATTAGTTTGAAGCGTCTGGTTCTATTATAACTGAAGTATAGATGCTTATATTAGCATTTTTTTATATTTAAAAATATGATTTAACAGAAGGAGTTCGAAACTAAAATCCTTTGAATTTTATAAGTTTACTATTATTGTTTTAAAATCGTAATAATTAAAAATGCACATCAATGACACATTTTTTTAAAGCCATGCAACCGTAAATTTGTTAAATTTTCCGATGAGAATTAAAAATAAAAATCTTTTTCATGAAAATAATTATTCGTAGTATTTATTATGAACTCGATTGTATTATC